ACCCTAACGCTCTAAACCTAACCCTAACCCTTACCTTTATGTGAATCGGCTTGCTTTAATTTTAATTTTATTTCAATTTTTTTCATCGCGCTGTGATGACGTCAAATGCGCGCTTTCGTCGAGCGCGATTTTGTCCTCCGCGGTTTTGACGGGTCACGCTTTATATCCAGGGTCTGTGGACGCTGCTGATTTCTTGCCATTGGCAAGTATGCTTGAAGCAGAAAAAATAAGTAGATCAGAAGTTCCCTTATTCTTGAATCAGAACCACCATTGCACTAAAGTCTTCTCTTCGAAAATCATGCCAGAGAAAGACTCTGCAACCCTCCTGATACAAACTACCCTCAGCCAATTTGAGGGAGACAGAGGAACAGCTCATATCGATTTTGCACATGCAGCATATTTTCCTTTGGAGTTAAGTTGCTGGGTCCGAAGTACACACAACGTGACCTAGAACAGAATAGTGGGTCAAAGGTAAGCCTAATCAGCATTCTGCTTCCACTTATGCCCCAAAGCCCATAAATGAGGCAAGAGCAGGCTAGCCACCCTGTTTTCCATACAGATTTCCAAGAATTAGTAGAAATAGGTATATTTTCTCCAATTTGGGAAATAATAAATAGCCATCACGTTTACCATGATGTTGGCTTTTTTTCCTTTTCAATTCTCATTCTACATCCCTACAACAGACACGGATCGGGCCACCTTGATTATTATAAGCTGAACGTGTGGGTTGATTGACTGGAGCAGGAACTAATTGGCTGAAAGCGGTATTGTTTATCCAGTGCGATGGTCCATTACGAAACCTCTCTGCGCCTTGCACACCCGGCGTGCACTTAACCCAGAAAACATGCAACGTCCTCAACCCATAGGGGAGAAAATATAGTCCTCGTTTCCTGGTATGGACGGGAGTGAGTTTAATCTTCCGGATTTGGCTTGTGTACAAACGATCGAGGCGTTTAAGGCGTCTTCCCACTCACGCCTCCAAGAGGCATTTGGTACTTTTATCGGGGCCGTTTCCGCCGTCCCAGGGAAAACGACCCCCTTCCCCCGCCCCCATTCAACAAGCGTTTTCTTGATGGAGCTCTCGCCTTACAATCAGGAGGTTGTCAGTTCGATCCTAGGTAGAAGCAGATGTAGGGGTCTCCTGCTCGAGCAGGAGGGTTGGACTAGATGACCTGCAAGGTCCCTTCCAACACTGTTAATATGATAAAGCATCCCCATCGAGGGCCGGGTGCCCTTTCTATGCACTTCTGGGTGAGGGGGAGCGCTACCGATTTCGAGACAACGCCGTTCGGAAGCAAGCCAACTCGCTCTATATGGCTTGCCTAATTTTGAAAAAAAAAAAAAGGATGAGGCTCTTTTTTTGGAAGGGGGGGGGGTAGGAAAATCAACGGTACTGTCCGTAGTACGGTTTGCTTCTAGGCACGCAGCAAGCGGAGGGGACGGGAATCAGTAAGTTAAGGACGAGGATTTAAAATGCATTACCTGACTCCGTTGTTAACCTCAAGCTGTCTAGCGTGGGTCTCACCCCATTCCTAAGAGGTGGGGAAAGGGGGCGTGCATAAACGCACCAGCGTGCCTACAGCCCCTGTCCTACTGTCCCCATTTATTCGTACCAACTTCATTCATGCTCAGGTTTATTCTTATGCATATCATTTTGTAAACGATTGACAAATCAAATAAATAAATTAAATAAGGATCGGGAAGCAGAACTAGCAAGCAAACACCCCACCCCCGCCCTTGATGGTGAACTTCCTTTCTTCTCAAATAAAGGCTCATCCTCCGGTTCCGTGCGACGCGGACAAGCGTCCACGCCCTCCGCCCCACGTGATTTCTAGGAAACCGACTAAACCCCAGTCCAAAAAGTTTCGGTTTCTATTCCTTTCCTTTCCCCCTTACGTGTATATATGAAGCGGTGGCTTTCCTCCGACGCCTCAGTCATGGCTGGTTTCGTCGACCCGTTGTCCATGTTCGGGCTGGAAGAGGAGCTGACTTGCTCCATCTGCCTGTGCGTTTTTCAGACGCCGGTCACTACGCCCTGCGGCCACAATTTTTGCCTGCCTTGCCTGGAGCTAACCTGGATGGACGCGGAGGACAAATTCAGTTGCCCCCAGTGCAGGGCTTCTTTCGAAAGCCGCCCCGACTTGAAGAAAAACACGGTGCTCTGCAAGGTGGTGGAGCAATTCCAGAGCAACCAAGGTGACCTCTTCAAAGGGACGTGTGCCGAGAAGAAGGAGAAGGTGGATAGTAGCCCAGCCAAGCCGAGGTCTCCCTCGCCAGTGCCCTGCGACAGCTGCCTGGTGGTCGACGCGGCCAAAACCTGCCTCACCTGCATGGTCTCCTTCTGCCAGGAACACCTGGCGCCCCACCTGGAGAGCCCAGCCTTTAAGAGCCACCAGTTGGTTCCACCCATGAATGAACTTCAGCAGAAGAAGTGTGAAGCCCATAGCAAGCTCCTGGAGTTCTTCTGCAAGGAGCATGGCATCTCCATCTGCTGTTTTTGCCTGCTTTCTCACAAGACCTGCTCCACTACCCCACTAAAAGAGGCCAAGGAAGCAAAGGAGGTGAGAAAGGAGTGCATGGTGGCTAGGTTGTCATGCTGGGNTTGTTAAAGATTTATAGCCTGTATTTATTCTGGGAAGTCGGGGGGAGGGAAGGTTGGGGGGTTGGGTTCAGGTGGGAAGGGTGGGGGAGGGGAGGTAAATATTTGTAAAAGTTTTTTTTTTAATTTTCAATAAAAAAAGTTTAATTTGTTTCTCCACCCCGACTTTTCTATGTTTAACTAGGAGTTTGGCAGAGTTTACGATAGAATGTTGGAAAATTAGATTTTATTTCTTAAGCGCAACTGTACGATCCAGCAAGACAGATACTGTGGCAGAAAAAGATTTTGTCAGCAGATGTCTCAAAATATTTCCCAGCTCAGAAAACTAGAAATAAAATTCATATATTAAGAAAAACTATGTATAATAATAGATTAAGAAAAAAAAAAACTAAGTATACATGTGATATATTCCTAGAGAAGGCTACATAGAACACTCAGGGGAGACACGAGTCTTCAAATATTTAAAGACTTAGGGAAGAGAGCATGGATTTATTCTGCATATTCATATCCTACTGTATATTCCTGAGGATAGAAAATGAAGTAGTGTGGAAGCTTTATAGATACCCAAACTCAAACTAAGAAGGAGTTTCTTGGTAATGTCAGCATGGCTCCTATGGCAATCTTTTAAGCAAAGATTGGGCAGCTATTTGTTGGGAAGATATGTGAAATTCATGCTTGAGCATAGTGTTTGACTAGAAGACCTCCAAAATCCCTTCTAGCTTTCTGATTTCAAAGGTTTTTTGCTTTTCTTTTTAAGTCTTTCATTTTTATTTTTAAGTTGACTTGGAATTTGTATAAGTGGATTAATATTTTAATGCCTTATTTTAAACATATATACCAGTTCCATTGAATGTATATGTTACACTAGATATTGTGATTCATTCTTATCTGTCTGACCTCACTGAGAATGGTAATCACATTCAGCATGGAAGATCAAGGGGTGAAGTAAATATTTTATATGACTGAATCTTACAATAAATATCCAACCATGCTATCTAACCCATTATTTCTCAGTAGCCTTGTAAAGTAGATAAGAAAAACACTGTTAACTTCAATTTTGAAGATCAAAGTTTAGGGAAATGGACATACTAAACCAATCCAGTAATATTAAAATCTGAAGCAGGAATTGATTAAATTACTTTTATTGCCTGTTCCCAACATTAGTTTTTGCCATTTTTCTGGATATCTGACATATAAAAAAAGAAAGAAGTGCTGTGAGTTAAATTTGAACCAATAAAGATATTTGCATTTATTTTCACACATGCTCACTCATTTGTTCTGTTTTGTTTCTCTATTAGTCTGTTAATTTAAAAAAAATTGACAGAAATTTTGATTTTAAATACACATTTAACTATGTGTTTTCAATGTCTTATGTTTACTATTAGTTTAAAAAATGAAATTGTAGCAAATAGAAAGAGAGTAGAATCTATTGGAAAGATATCAATAGAAAGTAGAAAGATTTCACTTTTGGTAGCTGACCTTTGAAAAGCTACTAACTGCAACATATTTCCCATTATTACATTCTGCAATTAAAGGCAGCTAAGGATAAGTACTAGAAATACAAATAGATGAAATACCACTTTCTCATAATGGCATTATTATTTCTCTAACACTTAATACCAGGTTTATAAGCACAACCTTTTTAAAAAAATAAATGTGATACAATAAATAAATACAAAGTGCAAGAGAGAACAAGAAAGAAAGAGGGAAAGAAAGGGAAGAAAGAAAGGTAAAGGAAGGAAGGAAGGAAGGAAGGAAGGAAGGAAGGAAGGAAGGAAGGAAGGAAGGAAGGAAGGAACAATAGAAGTGCTCTCTTGATCTGAAAAAGAATAATGATAAACTAAATCTTGACTACTATACAGTAGAGTTTTGATCTCCGTTGCCAAGCAAAGTCATTGTTACATGGTTGTCACTTAAATTTACAAAGGCAACAAAGTTCCAAAGAGGCTTCTCTAAAGCCACACAATATTAGAATCAGAACTGTTGTGTGAAATGATGCAATAAAAAACTACAGCTTAGCTCCTGTGGGTGTCTTTAGACCAGCTGTCAGGAGCACTTGCCTTAGGGTCAAAGAAAGAAGCCTGGATAAAATAAAGTCAACATTCATTTATATATATATATATAAATGAATATATACACACACACACACACACACACACATATACACATATACATACATACATACATACATACATACATACATACACATACATACACACACACACACACACACACACACATACACACACACACATATATATGTGTGTTTTTTATTTTATTTGTGCTGATAAATAAATAAAGGGAGACT